GCATCAATTGCGTTCGATACCGATCGTCTGTGATTGTTTCAGTCGGTTTTAACAGTTCATAATACACTACGCCGAGCTGGTCCCACCAAATACAGAGCATGACCTTGGACGTCAAAATCACCGTTCTTGAAGCGTTGAAACCACTCACGACACATTCTTTCACTAATAGCGGCCTCACCATAAGTATTTGAGAACATTCGATGAGCCTCAGCCGCAGATTTCTTCATATTGAAGCAAGAAATTAAAACCTCCCGCAAATGACGAGAATTTGGCTCGTAAACTGACATTTTCAATCGAGAATAACTTTATGATGCAGACACAAATCGACTAATGTTTCTATGGGGTTATGTTGACAGAGTTTATTGTATGCCCAAGTTTATTGTATGACGTCTATGATCTATTTATTTCGACCACTACTTACCGCTAAAGCCATCTATAGGAAAACGACGGAAGCAAAGTTGTACACCAAGTTGTACAAATATATTTATAAAAACTAAATTCGTTAAACTGATTTAATGGAGAAAACCATACAAGCACATAATTAATCAATATGCTGAAGCGGATTCTCACCTAACCTGGATGTTCTTCGAGTGTTATGTCATTATTGTTTAACATTCAGCAAATAACTAGAATGGAGTGATACCTGGATAGCATTCGGTAGGAATATAAAATCTCTTAATCTCTTCTCTCACGGATGTAAATCAAAACTAAAATAAGTACACAAAATAAAGACAGAGCAATGTCTGTATGTATGTGTGATTTCCGATCCACAAGAGTTTAGTTTCCTATGTCCCATGAAACTTGCAGATACGCAATCAATGACAAACGCTATTCTGGTGGATCCAATGAAAGTGATATACGGAAAGGCTCTTGTGATTGGTCAGTGCTAATTGCGCATTCCAAAAATTCTGCTCAATGGGACACAGGAAAACATATTATAGCTGAACAGAATAGGCTGAATGAAGTCAATAACTAGTGTTCCGGTAATTCCGCAGAATAGGCGCATCCACAGGATGCGTTCACAAGGAATGCAAAACTGCGGAATTCACCGTTTTCTGTTGCGCAAATTTATTGGTCGTACACAGAATCTTGTAAATGCACAAGGGAATCAACCAATCGAAATTCTTCATTTCCATGGAACAGGTTGCAAGAATTCCAAGGAATTTTAATAAAATTTCTTTTTATTTTCCAGATGTACCAGTCTGGATCGGCGCTAATCCGTTGAAATTTCTTTTCCATCGACTTCCGTTCCGGAAGTGGCCATTTTTCTCGAGAACGGTTCGAGCTAG